TGGCTCACCAATTAGTCATGATAGTGTAGACATGTCCTCAACTCTGTGAGCTAAACCCCTAATCGACTCATTTGACTATGATGTGTGAAGGTAGTTGCAGAATATATTTAACAATTAATTGACAATTGAATGGAATGTCCAATTGTGCACATTGCATTACTGATGGTGGTTCATTTATGCCAAAAAATCCTTCACCTCCATAAACCACATTGTGTAAAGTTGTTTAATAATAATCCTTGCATTTGGGTGACATCTTTGAGATGTCTCAAAGCACTTCACAGAATATAGTGTAAAGTGAATTGACTATATATTGTTTGGGCGAAATACAGCAGCCAATTGTGCACAGCAGTGTGCCACAAACAGTCTTGGATTGAGTGACCAAATTATTATTATTCATTTATTATTATTAAGACACTCTTGCACACATTTGTGCCAATCCAATTTTAGCTTTATTTGGCCTATTTTCCTCAGAGAATTTCATTATTTGTGCTTTTGCGCCAACCCAAGTCCCTAAGTTTAGTTCATTATTAGAGTAACAAGTAAACTTGGCATTGTCCTTAGCTTCTTTCTTGTTTAGATATTTTTAGATATAAATTTGGCCTCAATTTCTTTCCCGCAAGAGCCCCTAGCCTTAACCTTGGTCGAGCTTTCATTCCTGACTTTGACTTCGACTCTGCAATTGACCCAATCACAGCTGCATAAATGCTCCAACTACCTTTGGTCTTTTTTGGTGTCAGCTCAAGCACCATTTACAATCCTGACTAACTTCCAGACTCCCAGGCAATCGGCTGAGCACTGACAACTCTCTTTGTTCTATACTTGCCCTTAGGGGATCATTATTCCTGCTTTATTAACAACTGTACTAATTCAGAGGGACAGCTAATTGAGAGAGATTCATGGCCCTGATTAATTGATCCATTGAGTAATCAAAACAATTGTCGCTGTCTTCTCTACCTAGAGTATCTTCTGTTTTCATTGATTAACTAACAAGTTGATGAAGTATATTGTTTGCTTGTTATTTTATATTAAAATTAATAATAATCCAAAGCATGTATAGTAGCAAGTAAATAAAAGCCAGAGCCCCAAAATACTTTTTAAATTATTTTGAATTGATAAAGCGCTTTTTCATGTCAGAATGATGTCTCAAAGCGCTTCACAGGATATATTGTGAAGTGCAGTGACTGAATATTTTGTAAACAAATTGTGCAGCTAATTTGCACGCAGCAATGTCCCACAAACAACCATAGAATGAGTAACCTCTTTTTTTTCGGTGGGGGGGGGGGGAATTGTTGGAGAGAACACTTCTCTTTTCAAATAGTGCCATAGGATCTTTAACTTCCACCTAAACAGACAAACAGGATGTCTGTTCAATGTCTCATCTGAAGGACGGCACCTCCAAAAATACAGTACACCCCCAGCACTGCATTAGAATGCAAGACCCCTAGACTAGGTGGGTTCCAAGTCCTGATATGGGGCTGGAACCTACAACCTTCTGATCAGATGTGAGAATGCTATCAATTGAGATAGGCTGACATTCCACCCAATGCCACCCCCAATAGAACTATTCCAAGTATAGAGAGAGAAATCTGTAATTTTTAGTTTTGTAAATTGTTAAGTCCTGGAATGGCCTCTGGGATCCTTTTTTGTCCATTCCAACATTGATTTGCCGAGGAGCTGTGAAATCCTTGTTGTCCCCAATCAAAGAATATGATCAGCCAGTTGATCCTCAGGCTGATTGGAAAAGACTTAATTGTGAACAAGATTAAATAAAACAGGAGATAAAAATAAATGCAGGAAAGAAGAGGTGTGCGTGCAACAGATAGAAACAGAAATGTATAAAAAATGGCGCAGAAGGAAGCCATTTGGCCCATTGGCAGTCGGCACAGAGCAAGGAGACCAATTCAATCCCACTCTCTGGCTTATCTCTATACTCCTTCAGTCCCTCTCTTTCAAATACTTGTCCATTTCCCTCTTGAAAACTACAATGGAATCTGCCTCCACCACCCTACTTGGCATGGTTCCACACCTCAACTACTCTCTGAGTGAAAAAATCCACCTAAATTCTCCTTTCGCTGTTTTTGTGGCTATCTTATAACTGTATCCCAAGTCACCGACACCCCTATCAATGGAAATAACTTTTCCCTAATTACCCTGTCCAAACCCCTCATAACGTCGTACACCTCAATCCGCCCTCAACCTTCTCTGCTCCAATGGAAACAGGCCCAGCTTCTCCAATCTCTCCTCATAACTGTAGTCCTTCATCCCTGGAATTATTTTCGTAAACCTCCTCTGCAGCTCCTTTAAGGCCTTAATATCTAAGGCCAATATTATCTGGATATTGGAGTTAACAAGAGAAGCAGATTCAGAGGAGGAATCCCTGTGTTGTATTAATAATTGGGATCAATTTAGCAATACTGAATCCTACCATTCATTCTCACACAAAGTCCAGACTGATGTGAGCTGGTGGAGGTGACTGCAGAGGGAGGTGTAGCCATAATCCTGCACATATTGTGGTCATGCACTGTCTCTGGCCATCATGGACAGACATCATAAAAGTCAATGAGTCTGCAACTGGTCTTACCCTTCTCCTGCACCCAAATCAATGCACACTTGGCCTACTGCCACCTAGGCAAGGAACCCCTGCCATCTGCAATCTTACAGACACTTTTTCTTTTCGTTGCAAGAAAGTGCAACCACAGTAAAAAATCATTTCACCCCTTCCCCCCAAAAAGAAACCTGCAGACCTTTGGGACATAGATCTGACTGCACATTGTTTTGGGGCATTCTACCAATATGAAAGGCACTCTATGCATACAATTTGTTGTTGACATCTACTGTACCGACTGTGCCTAGAGCAGGAGAAAAACAAAGAGGTGCACATCACTTTCTGCAGACTTTCTCTACTTTACTCAACCTCCTCCCTCCCTTTTCAGGAGTCTACACCTATTGCCCGCAGTGATAAATAAGAACACGTGGATGCAGTCAAACAATGAGAAAGGGCATTGCTCAAATGGCTACAGAGCTACATTCCATTCTGTATACACATGGATGTCAGTTAACTTGATGGACACTTCCATCTGCTGTAGCAATAAAATCAAAGGCATTTCCTGATATTGAATGAAAATCAACAATTCATCTTTTCCCCTTGAATTTTCTCCAAGATTTTCCAAGCTCATGTGTTAGCTATTAGATTTATTTTTGCAGCATTTAAACTTCCAAACAATTATGAAGCTGTCAGCTGCGACAAGGTTTGACAAGACTTGAGCCAGCATAAAACCTAAAAATGCGACTATCGGAAGAAATGTATGTGGATCCACAAAGTTAAATGTATGTCCAAATTGAGACAGAATATACTACAAAAAGCTGTATAGCAGATAAACTAAGTCACATAGGACAAAATAAATGAAAACATTTGGCCAGAAAGAATGATCACAAAACACTTGCACTTTCCAGACAAATCAGCCTGCAACTCCTTCAAAGTCTTCCTCATCCAGTGAGTGTTGTACACAAAGAGCAGCCCTTGCAAAAGCACAGTTCAGAACATTTTTCTGTGTCTGTTTATTAATGGTATAGCATTTAGTAAACTCTTGATCATCACATGCAGATGTTTCTTTCTGTGTGTTTATCATTTTCTATTTCTATATTTTGTAAGTGGATTAATTAGCTTTACTTCACTGCCTATCAGGGACAGTTGTTTTATATTTGTATACTTGCAGTTCAGGAGTAGTTTGTGGTCAATTTACACAAAGAAGAAATTCATTCATGACTCCACTGGTGGTCCATCTTGACCCAATTGCAGCCAAAAAGCACTAACCAATGCAGAGGAGGAAAGAAATGAAGAGAAACCGCTTTCTGAAGGGAATAATCCACACTTCCTAATGAAATAGCTCAACGGGATCAGCCTTCTGACTGTCACTTGATCCTGTGCAGAGCTTTCTCTAGAGAACCTTATGCAGTATTGTCTGCAACAACAGACCACAAGACAATTGGCATCCTTTGACACTGCATTACATTTCTTGACAGTACAAATTCAAGTTGCTTAAGTGGACATGATAGGGCAGATGATCTTTTTAATCTCACTAAAGTCACACTCAGACCAAAATCAGTGGTCTTTTTCTTTGCAGCTTCAGTGTAGATACAGTAATTACAGGTGATAACATTAATGGGTGTCATTCTGGCTTAGTTGATAGCACTATTGCTTCTGACTTCGAAGGTTATGGATTCAAGCACCACAGTGTTACTTTGAACTCATACAATCTGGGCTGACTTTCCAATGACGTGTTGCGGGGTTGCTACATTGTTGGAGGTACTGTCCTTCAAATGAGACATTAAGCTGAGGTCCCATATGTCTGTTTGCGTGGACATTGAAGATCCTGGTACTATTCAAAAAACATAGGTGGTTTCTCATGGTGTTCTGGCCAACAATGCCCCAGATAAAATTGGTCATTTACTTTAAAGCTGTATATGGTACATTGCAATGCACAGATTGCCTGTTGCATTCATCTACAAAATACACAGACACTACACTTTACAGTAAATCCTGTAAAGTGCTTTGAGACGTCCTTCTGACCTGAAGTGGTCTATAACAAGAGCAAAGAATTATTATTATTATTTAGAACTCCCTTGATTCTGCTCAGCATCTATCCACAGAGGTTTTGGTTGCTGGTTCTATTGTTAGTGACAATCCAATGAACCACTCTGAGACTCCTCAGTGAGAGATTCGCTCAAAGTTTATGTAGAAAGTATTCTGTAATTATCCTAAAAGGAAATCATGTTAAAATATTATACATCTTTTTTTATTCACCTGGAACCATTTTTATAGTTATAAGAACTCTAAGATAAACACTACCTGCTTTGCTAACATATACCCATTGAAATTTTACCTAACCTTAGCATAGGTGTGTGGATAATAAACAACAGGTATACTCCTGTAAACATTTATGACGTAACTGTAACTGGAAAGCCTAGTCTGACATGTTTCTTTATCATTTTCTTCCCAGACTAATGCTCTTTGAAGGATGCGTTGTTGAAAAATGGAAAGAGCTATGGGTTAAACGATTGAAGGTAAGATTCATATGGAACAAAGATTTGATGAGGAAATAAAAATAGGAAACACATGTACTTTATGGGTGAAGTAGAACTTGCCAAAGTGGAAGCTGAAAGAGATCTAGCGGTGTTAGTTGACTCCTTGTTCACCATGTTAAAATGATGAAAGGCAACACTGAGTTGAGTTCAGATCCTCAGATGTCATACTGAAGCAATATAGTGCTCTGATCAGACTGTACCAAGAGTTCTGTTTACAGTTCTGGGAGCTGCCCACACCTTAGATGCAGTGCAGAACAACAAAGATGATCCCCAGTGTTAGGTGAATGAGCTATGAGCAATTAGTCAAGCTGGAGCTCTTAAGTTTTGAGAGAAAACAACTCAAGCTGGATCTTACAAATGGGATTGAAAAAGTAACAATAGTTTAGGATGCAGCAAGACAGCAGAAAAACGGGAAAAACAAAAGGCAAAAACTGCAGATGCTGGAAACCTGAAATAGAAACAGAAGTCGCTGAGAATACTCAGCAAGTCAGGCAGCATCTATGGAGAGAAGAAAGTGAGTTAAAGTTTCAGGTCAATGACCTATTGTCAATTCTAAAGGGCCATGCAATGGTCATTGCCGCTCGGTAGCTACTGGAAACAAGGCCTTGATTTGGATCGGACTGTCTGGACTGGTGGGAATGTTCGGTGGATCACTTCCGGCCCGCAGACCATAGGTTGGCCACCACTGCTTTACCCAGAGGATAATTAACAAGTGCAACAGGTTGCCAGGAAGGGACCAGTACACTGGATGCATTTAAAGAATGGCTTGTTGTTGCTTGATATCTGCTAAGGATCCTATGTGAAAGGAGCTTGTTGGTCTCAGTTCAATTCTTAATACACATAGGCTCAAAGAACAAAATTCCCCTTATTTTAGCACTGTGACTACACTTAGCTTATACTTTACTTTTTCCAATGCAAATTGCATCAAATAATAGCAAAATGTGTAATGAAAATTAGGCTCGAGGCTTGTGAGCCTGAAGCTGTATATGCTGTAAACCAACTGCCGAGACCACCTCAAGGAGATGATTTTCCCGGGATATCTAATTGCACCGCTGTAGTACAAATGGAAAAATGTTGTCATTTCTCAGCAATAATATCCATGAACAAAACAATAAGAAAAACTGTATTGCAGTGAGGTGTTTCTAAGGTTTGAAGAGGGTGTTTTTGTTCCACATGTTTTTGGCAAGTTGTTATGTGGAAAAAAAGAGTTTTCAGAGAAACTGAGCAATGCACTTGCATGACTCCTCAACGCATCTGTTAGCTGTCATTCCGTGCAGATCTAGTTTGTGACCTTTAAATGTGATATTTATTTATGTGCTATATTTTCACAGACAGATTGACTGCCAACATTGTTTCAATCAACTGCTGACTTTCTTTAAGTAACTGGCATTTTTTTTGTATTTCTAATTTTAGAGACTGACTGTTGTGTAGAATATGTCTGACTGACGTCTGACTTTTACTTGTTTTTAGCTATTGTTTAGCTGCTAAATACTGCTGAGCCTCTTTTAAAAACACAAAACGACCTGTTTTCCAATGCTGGGAGGATGATTCAAAGCACTTCACAGGATTTACTGTAAAGTGGAGTGACTATGTATTTTTATAGGGGAATGCCACAGCCACTTTGCACACAGTAATGTCCCACAAACAGTCATGAAGTGAATTGTTAGCCAGGCCACAGGGAGAAACCCTCTTCATTTTTGAATAGTGCTAAGGGATCTTTTACACTCACCTAAACAGGCAGACGGGACCTCGGTTTAATGTCTCATCTGAAGGATGGCAACTCCGACACCTCCCCCCATCACCCCACATACACTGTTTTAGAATGTCAGCCTATACTATAGGAGATCCGAGCCCTGACATGGAGACTGGACACATTCTACTGTAGTCTTTTTTTATTTTCACAACACAAAGTAGACTGAGGAATGTGAGACATTCCTGACCTATAAGCCCATTATTTTTGTGCTATTGCTTTCACATGCACTTTGGAACTTAACAGCTTCAGAAAGATTTGTAGCCATTATTTGGTTTGTTATAGCTGTAAGAGCAGTCAATACTTAATCTCACTGATTCAGTTCATGTTCAATACTCTGTACTCCCAGGGGAATAATAATTGTCAATTTTATTACCACCGTGAACTTAAATCATGGTTATAAATGGTAATGTAATAGAAAACTAATGTGCAGCGACTAGATTGTAACAATGGTATCATTTCTGAATTTAAAACGAATACTTTCTATCCATAGTTACTTTCCCTAATCAAGGTGAATAAAGTAGTCGAGGACAGTAGGGGAGTAGTGGAAGCGACAGCGGATAAAATAAAATAAATACTAATTTATAAAGGTCTGGCTGGATTGAAGCATTGAGGATTAAAACACTCAGGAAACTGTCCTTACACTGACAGTCAGATTGGCAAATCATCAACAACAACTTGCATTCATATAGTGCCCTTCACGCGGGGTAGTGTCTTGGAGTGCTGAGAAACGTAATGTTATTAAATATAGATATTGTAAAAAAAATCATTCTGTGGAAGTGAGTTCTTAACTTTATTCTGATCTGCAGTCCAAGATAAAATTATAAATGATTTGACATTAGCCCAGAACCTCCCATACATATCCATTGTATATTCAGAGAGGCATTATTTGCCCTAATTGAATACAAAATCTGTACTTCAAAAATCTGGATGTACAACCATTGGCCGGCAGGTCTTCAGCCTCTATCTGCCCACCACCCTCTGGAACTCCATTCCACAGTCTTTCCACCTTGCCCCCTCCTTCAAGACCAGTCTCAAGACCCTCCTCTTCAACCGTGCCTTCAGTCATCCTCCTACCCCTACCCTCCCCACCCTCCACCCCTCCTGATCCCAACCACCAACTCGGGTGCGAATTCCTGATTGTCCAGCACTTTGGGATGTCTCCTGACGTGAAAGGCACTATACAAATGTAATTTGTTGTTGGTATTACAACACAGGTTTCCATTGCGCTAACTGGTAATTGGCATATGATGAGCGTCTGCTAACCAATGACAAATTATGTTTCTCTTCTCACGCACTAGCAGAGAATGTTCTAATAATCCTTTCAAAACAAAATTGCTCAAAATATGTATTTTTCCATCACTGTTGAGCAGCATATTATTTTTTTTAAAACAATTTTTGTCATATTCCACCAAAGCCTATGAGTGGCCTGGGTTTCACCCAGCTTTCCAGTCAATGTTACATACTTGTGGACACGGTCTGGACTTCATTCAAACTGCTGGTAGCCTTAATTATTTCCATCCTCCCAGTGGTCGTGGCTGACTGCAGAAGGAAACAAGTACGGTATTTGTATTTTTATAGTGCCCACATGGTTAAAACGTTTCAGTAAATGATTACTGTCAAGTGTAGTGACTATTTTTGTTGACTGTAGCGATTTGATCACACAATGTTCTTTGAAATCAACCAAAGGCATCTGTTGCGATTACTGTAGCCCAGAAGAAGTTCCCAATTGAAAAACTTGAAATCCTTTTCAAGAAATCTCTTATGGAATACCACAAACTGGAACACATGTAATGTTTTTGCAATACACTGACATTATTCTGTTGTGAATTTCAGCAAATAAAGTAACAGTTTACCAAAGTTCAATGATGACATGACTGTTTTAAAGCCAACTCTTTTATGCAGCGTTTTCTTATTGATATATATTTTTAAATTCGCCCACAAAATATACAGTCAATCATCTTTACCGTACACCCTGTGAAGCCCATTGAGATGGCTCAAAGGTACTATAAAAATGCAAGGACTATTATTATCATATTATTATTTATTTAGCGCTGGGAACAAAGACTGGAGCAACAACAACAAGTGGAGAACATGCAAGAAAGGAATGTGGGACGCAGTGAGCGCAGTGGTACCCCCAAGTCAAGCTCAAAGAAGACCAAGCCAGCTCCCCCCAACCCCAGGAAACCCACCAAAAATAAAAACAAGGAAAAGAAAGCAAAGAAGTTGTGAACTGGGAAGTTTCTGCAACTACGGATTGTCCCTTATGATGGAGGTCACGTCCTGGCTTCAGCGGCATGCCACAATTTCCACATCATTCTCTCATTTCCAGCCTGGTCCTTATTGCACTATTGCATTTCCAAAATGTCTGTGTAGCGTCACCAACTCTCAGAAGCCCTTGCATTGTCATATCCAGGCTCTGCTCACCACAGTCATTGGCTTGCACTACAAAGTGGTGGCCATTTCCTTTCTATGTCTTCATCTGTCTAACTTGTAACATTTCAAAGCAAACAAATACATGGCATTGATCACCTCCTGTCTAACCCATGCTGCTAAGCATTCGGACATGTGTGCTACTGATGTGGTTGTTTTGCTGTACTGTGTGTGTTGGAAAAAGTACTTTGCAAGTAAATCTGATGGGAATTATGTACTCTCACATCACTGATTATTATACTACAACAAAATAAAATATATACATTACTTATTTAAATATACTGAGTGAAATGTTCCTCAGGTCACTAAGTGTAGCTATGCTGCCAATCCACACTAGTTGTGAACCCACATTTGCATTGTGGTTAGACTTAGAAACCTGAGGATTTCCCACCCTAGCCCAATTTTTAAAAAATAATACCGGTGTAATATATAAGACTGGTATATTTTCAGACTGACGTCTGTTTTCATTTTTTTATATATTATAATCTTTTTGTAGTTTTGAAAAGCCCAAGCACAAAAAAAGGTTTCATTTCTTCAGGAGAACATTTTCTCAAATGCCTTTGAACTGAAAAATGTATTTTAAATAATGGAAATATTGGTGCATTGCACGATGTGAAACATGCTGTATCTACGTGTGCATCTAATTTTCAACCCATTGCTAAAACAAGATGCAATTGTTATAAACAGAAACATAAGGATTATATGAAAGCCTCAATAAATTCTGAGGTGAAAACAACATATGAAAATGATGAGTAAGCAATCCCTAAGAAATGAATCCTTAATTGTGGATGGTTTTATTGGCAGGAAATAATGTTTTGCTTGGTTGAACTGCTGGAACAGCTCTTCAAAAGTTATGTAGAATATCTGCTTGTGATCTGAACAGTGGATTATGAAAACATTTTTTGGCATAAATTTTTGTATTAAAATAATTTCTGAGTTTAGTCTATCTCACATAAGTGCAGCATTCCTTCATCTTTTAAATTCCTGGAACACAACATTCCTCTGTACAGAAATAAGAAATAAACTTTAATGGCAGATTTAACCTTTCTCCCTGCTCATGTTTCTTTCTGGTAAGATGCCGTTTATACAACAGCAACAAAATTACATTTGTATAGTGCCTTTCACAATACAATATACATTCATATGGCATCTTTCACATTGGGAGGAGATCTCAACACCCTTTACAAAGCTGCCGGGTCACCTTAGCTGGGGATGGGGGTTAAAAATGTCCGAAAGCACAATCAACATAAACAACAAAATTACATTTGTTTAGGGCCTTTCACATCGGGAGAGGCCGTCTCAAGGCGCTGGACAGTCATTGTTTCGGACCCAAGCTGAAGGTTGGGATTGCGGAGGGTGGGAACGGGGGGGGGGGGGGGAGCAGGGAAAGTACGGTCACAGAGGAGGGTGTTGAGATGGGCCTTGAAGAATGCAAGGGAGGGGATGAGGTAGAGGGACTGTGGGATGGAGTTCCAGAGGATGGGGGCAGAATGGCAGAAGGCCCGCTCACCAATGGTGGGGCGGGCGAGGTGGGGGACATGGAACAGGCCGGAGTCCACTGAGTGGAGGAAGCAGGCAGGATAGTGGGGGTAGGGAGAGGTAGGCAAGACCATGGAGAGCTTTGAAGGTGAGGACCAGGATCTTGAACTGTATCCTCTGTGTGATAGGAAGCCAATGGAGTTGGGCAAGGATGGGAGTGATAGGGTCGCAGAGCCTAGTGCGAGAGAGGACCAAGGCTGCAGAGTTCTGGATGATCTGCAGCCTGTGGAGGGAGGAGTTGGGGAGGCCGACAAGCAAGGAGTTTGCATAGTCAAGCATCGAGGTTATGAAAGCGTGTATGAGGGTTTCGGTGGCCTGCGGTGTGAATGCGTTGGTGCTGACGGGAGCCAATCAGGAGAACCTCGGTCTTGTTGATATTCAACTGAAGAAAGTTAGCTCTAATCTAGGACTTGATGTCTGACAGATATTCTGTTAGGACAGCAGTGGTCCTGGAGTCAAAGGTGGAGGCAGAGAGATACAGTTTGGTGTCATCCGCAAACATGTGGAAGTTGACCCCATGTCTGCAAATGATGTTAGCAAGAGGGAGCATATAGATATTGAAGAGGAGGGGACCAAGGACGGAGCCCTGAGGAACATTGCACGAGATGGTACGGGGGCTAGAGAAGAAACTGTTCGTGGAGATGAAGTGGAGGCGGTGCAAGAGGTACGATCTGAACCAGTCAAGGACAGAACCATGAAGGTTGAGGTGAGAGGAGAGGCAGTGGATGAGGAGAGAATGGTCAATGGTGTCGAAGGCAGCAGAGAGGTTAAGGAGGACGAGGAGGCAGAGGGAGCCCTGTCGCAGATGGACAGAATGTCATTTGTCACTTTGACCAAAGGTGTTTCTGTATTTTGGGCGGCATGGAAACCCGATTGGAGGGGTTCATGAATGGAGTGGCGGGAGAGGAAGAAGCGAAGCTGGGAAGCAACTACTTGTTCCAGGACCTTAGAGAGGAAAGGGAGGTTGGAGAGGAGATTGGAGAGAATCAAACAGATAAGTCTTAAGGTGGGGTTTAAAAGTAGGGAGGCAGCCAGTCGAAGGGATTCATTCTTTACACAATGACTGCCACAACGGTACATTTGCAGTGTATTTAAGAATTATTACATTCAATATTGTTAATTTGCGTTGATCACGCTAGTATGTGCACTTTGTGTTTTAAAACTGTATATCAACGTAAAAACAATAAGGGAATTTTAAAAAGACTGCTCATTCAATTGCTAATAAGGCACACACCTACATACCCACACACACGATAAGTATTACACAAGTGTTATAAATATCTTCTCCAAATAAGGTTGAAGTGAGGTAAAAAATTAATATTTCATATTTTCTAGGACTTTGAATTTACATAATCTAGGCTGACACTTCAATACTGGGTTGGGGATTGCTGTATTGTTTGAGGTGCCCTCTTTTGGAGGAGACATTAAAACAAGGTCCTGTTTGCTGTTCAAATGGACATTAAAGCACCCATGGCAACAGTTGAAGAGAAGGGAATTTCTCCTGTTGCCCTGTCCAACAACTCCCCAAAATAAAATTGGTCATTTGCTTAATGAATATTTGCAGGACATCAGATACTGATCATGAGTATCTATTATTTTAGGCAGGATTATCGAATGAGAAGTGATGATTTATACCACACTCCCCAATAAAGAAAACTTAATCACAAACAAGTTCATCATAGGCATGTACTTTATTTTTTGGTTGGCTTTTGGTTCTTTTGAAAAAGCATATGAATATTGTGACAAAAAGTTTGCAAGATTTGTATGTTTACTTAGGGTCATCAGAATGACAGAATACATATCAGATATCAGCCTTTTACTGAGAAAGTTTAGTACGGAAATAAGTCATGATTTCCATAGCACTTAATTAAACTGTCACCATGGATCCATAAAATAACTCATTCTCTAGGCAACATGAGGTCAATGTTAACTCACTTGTGTTATGAGATCTGTAATTTTGATCTGAACAACCCAGGAACCTCTCAAATATATTGTTTCCATTGCATGATTCCCACGTAGATCAATCTCAGCTACTTGTTTAAACCAGTTTTCAGACCGTGAAATTATACAGTTCCTTTCTCTCTATATATTATATACTATATATATGGATTGTTGGAGGCTTCTTATTTAGTAGCTGAGTTTACATCTTTCAGATAAAATAGTGAAGCCACCTTTATATCTGTCTTATATACAATGAGATTCCATTTCCTTTCCCTTATCTTCCCCTTTCATGTCATTATATCAGGATAACTTTCAGGATATCAGGATCAATTGTTAAATACCAAGTGCATGAATCTCTGGATGTACTTACTATATTATCAATTATTGGTGAATAATTGAGTCCACCAACCTAAGGGTTGTCACTGAGAAATGTGTTATATAGACATAGCAGTTGCCTACAAAAATACAGTCACTACACTTCAGTAATTCCTGTGAAGCACTTTAAAACATTCTCTCGAATGATACACCCTCCTATTGGAAGCTATGATATGAAATGCAAGGATTATTATTGTGATATTGTTAATAATATTATGACAATAATAAAATTGTTACTTTTAGCGAGCAGCAGAAGATTGTGTTGAGATCTGGACAATTTTCTATTTGGGGTACTTTGTGTCAACATCAAGCGGGTCTAGGTCAGGTATAGCATGGACAGCCTTACAATAAAGTTACCTATGCACTCCCTATTGTATCAATGTGGAGTCCTGTAGCTCAGTGGTCAGAGCACTCACTTTGCAAGCGAGAGATTTGGGTTCAATTCCTGGTAGGGTGAAACCTTGGGTAAGTTTTCTTACTTCACATGCCTGATAATAATCCCTCCAAAAAAAAAAGTGGTCATTTCAATCCACAACTGTTTGTGGGACACCGCTGTGCGCAAGTGGCAGCTGCATTTTGCCTATAAATTTACAGTCAATTCACTTTACAGTCTATTCTATGAAGCACTTTGAGACGTCTAGAAAACATGAAAAGTGCTATATCAAATGCAAGGATTATTATTAATATTGTGACATTTTCATTTTCTAGACCACTCTTTCGTAAGATATCTGAGTGAGACTATCAATTTGTCAAAATAATTTTATTCTAACATAGTTGACATACAGTATGTCCAACTACAGCATTCCTGGCTTCTATTCAAACTGATGTCCCCAAAATGAAAGAAAGGTGGTCCACCCAATTTGTTAAATTAACAAATTTATTAGTGTCTGTTTATTATAGACACACTGGAGAATTTGGGGGATTAATAGTGGTGCAGCTGTTCTGTGATATTTGCAGCTTTTATATAATACAGAAAAGTCAGTACTGGATCCACATGAACTCCATCACAGGAGTTATTAACTATTTACTCAATCCCTCACTAAGACTTGTACTACACCACATGTTTGGAATAAGGCTTTTCTTCTTGATTGTTGAACTCTGCTGCCATCTAATGGCTTATATCATATAATGTCAATTCACAAACATCAATGCCTCATTTTTGGATCGTAGTGATAATTTCATGGGGGGATATAAAATAATTCTAAATTTCTTTTATGAACTATGGCCTTAGAAGGAAAATAAACAAAAAAAACCTAATGGCAAACCTATGGTGTGTATATATATATATACTCACACACACACACACACACATATACACACACACACACATATACACACACACACACATATACACACACACACACATATACACACACACACACCAGTAATGAGCGTCAACTTGGCTTGGTTGGTAGATACCACTCACCTCAGGACTTTGAGCTCCAACAAGGTGAATAATCAATTTATCTGGAGGATTGTTGGCAGGATACCAGGAGAAACTCCCTTCTCCTTCTAATAGAGCACTTGCCCTCCAAGCAAGATACCTGGGTTCAATTCCCAGCAGGGCGAAACCTTGGGCAAGTTTCCTTACTCCACACACCTAATAATAATCCGTCCAAAAAAAAAAAAAATTGGTCATTTTCAATCCACAACTGTTTGTGGGACACTGCTGTGTGCAATTGGCTGCCGCATTCGCCCACAAATATACAGTCAATTCACTTTATAGTCTATTCTGTAGAGCGCTTTGAGATGTCGAGAAGACGTAAAAAGCGCTATATCAAATTCAAGGATCAATGAGAATCCGTACCCCACCATGTCCTGCCGATGTATCAGGTTAGCTGCTCTGTCATTAGCAGGTTCTTGGGAGTACTTTGGAACTGTCACACTCATGAAGCTGACTACCTAAGTCACCACAGAGGTTTTACTCACAACACATCACATGAGAGGTTTGGTGAAGAAGGCACTTGGACTCATTTGAACTTATCCTTCCAGAAATCACACTCAACTATCTTCCCAGCACAGATCAATGAGTCCAGTCCTCAGCATCACCTTCATGGTACCTGTCCTGATTTTTTTCTTTGAAATCCTAAACTTGTGATTATTATCATACTGTATAAAAACAAATAAACCTTGCCTTTGGTATAGGATGCCCAAGATTGTTTCACAGGATATACTGAAAAGTGCTTTGACTG